AGCTGTGCTATAAGCAATTTCAGTATGATACATTCATTACCGGACACCCTGTATATTTCAAAAAATAACTTTATCTACATAAATAACATAGAAAAAAAGTCCATTCGATTAATGCGTAAAATATGACACCTTGTTTGCGCGTAATGTGGTTTGTAGTCACGGGTTGTTATTTTCTCTGGCATTGCATTTGACTGTTTGGGACCTGGGCGGCGCTGATGATGTATGTGCTGCTACGTGGGCCGGGCTATACCCTGGATTCCGTGGGCCAAGATTACTCTAGGCACCGCCGCTACATGGGCCGGGCAATACCCTGGACTCCGTGGCCTGGCTTTACCCTGGACACCGCAAGAGCTCTTCTTACAACGTCAACACGGCGGAAGGGATAGTATTGAAACCATTCTTATTTTGGATCAACAGAAATTCCAGCACACATCACACATGAGGCGCTGTCGTACGTAACTGTTTCAACGAAACAGCATTGCCTAAATTGCTCACAATTACTCACTGGACGCCTATACGTACGCCTGACTTCTTCTATCACTGCCATGCAGACACATTCTGCACTAGTCAGTGAACAAGACAGTCCGCCATTGCTCGACGTTCCAATTAAGGTGCTCTCAAGCAAATTGAAACTCGCTTACCGATGGCTTGGCGTCAATTTCGGATCTATGCCAGGCCGTTTTAAGCCGTGTAAGGTTGGCTTCCTTCAGGCGTCGTCTAACTGTCCACTCGCTGACAGACGCTCTTGGAACACGTATCTACTCCTGCTGTACACAGATGGCGATTTCACAGTGAGATAGAAACGGTAAACCGGTCGTTTCTCAGATATATCTGTGACGGCTGGTTCTCGGCCGCCGGTTGAATGCACCGTACTGGAAATCTTCTTTACACCTATGATACCGCACATTGCCTTAAGTACAGTTGAGTAGCGACAGTTTCCTGACTGAGTCCCTGTTGCAAAAGAGCAACAACTTTAGCGACTTCTTGCAGCGTTTTCTATCCATGGTTTCGATAAAATAATGATCGCAAGTTTCGAAGATGTGTTAAGGTCAACTTATGGAAAGCGACTGATAAGGATAATTTTTTTATTTTATGAATGATATTTTGCAGTTGGCCGCTGATGGCCTTTACTGCGCCCCCGGAGAAAGAGGGCGAGCTGAAGGCTCATAACCCCAAAAATAAACTTAAAGCTAAGTAGCGGGCCTGAGGGCGCCCAAGTGGCCACGGACCTCGGCTCAGGGCGCTACTGGAGACTTCCGCCAGAAGGGCGTGCTGTAGGAGAGAATCTACCACTGTACGTGCTGAAATAAGGGGCTTGACGACCTCGCCGGCGAGGACGGTTGGTGCGTGAGGGACGGGACTGACTAGCGATCTGGTTGGCCTTCAAAGTGGCGAGAGTGATAAGGTCGTCAGAGTCGTTGAGGACTTCCCTTGGCCGACGGGTCCTACGTACGCGGTGGGGTTGTTCCCTGAGGGGGTCGTAGGAAAATGCAGCCACCACGATGGGATTGGGGTGGTGAGGAGCAGAGTCGAAGTATTTCCTCGATGCCTGTTTCATGAATTGGGCTATTGTGGGGAGCCGTAAATCTATATGGAGGATAGCGTTGCGCATGAATCGATTTGATAAGGATAAACCGGGTACAGGGGGTTATATAGGGGTACCTGCGTGCGCAACTTGTGCTGTGCACCACTCGTACATTTTTCTGTACTTTAATTTTATTTGCGTTATTTAAAAACTGCTGAATCCATTTGATCCTTAAAGGTAAAGTTACAAGTTTTTAAACATTAGATGTGAACTTATAGATAAAACCTACTCTGTACGCACACTTAGAGGTTGAGTCAGTTTGGTTGCTCGTGTGTGTATAGCTATACTTCGTTTCAATCCATTTTGAACAAAAAGTAAACAAACAAGTCACTGACCTGACCATAGACGGTTTAGTGATGGCAAACTGTAACGCCAACAACAAATCGATTAATTAATTGAATAAATCGATTTGTTCAATTGAGTTATACTAGCGGTTTTCCTACATAACCTATATAAGCATATTTAAAATTTCAATTGAAATCCTCCATCAATTCCACTTAGATAATCGATTATTAAATCAAACATTTCAATTGCAATCGAACTTGCAATTGAAATGTTCGATTTAATAATCGATTACTAAACTTTAATTGATTGAACCGAATGTTTTTTTTTCGAACAGCACTATGCAACCATAGGCAAGTCATAGAAGTATAGAGGAATAATAACCTCACTTTTGGACTACCATTTTTCAAATACGATTTTACGATTCTATGCAAATAAAAATTGTTGGAAAAAGTGATGAGATATCAAGTCGAACTCTTCGAAATATACGTGAAAGTGTTACTTATTCGATTTATTGAGTGATTGCTTTAGAATTTTAACCAAACAGGTTTGTTTACTTTTTGTTCAAAATGGATTGGAACAGACTTTATGTCCCCTGCGAGTGTTTCGCTGTATGCTCTATTAAACTTTGAGATGGTGTCGAATTCGAAAAATGTATACAAACAACTGTCAAAATGACATCTCATAGATCATAAACTTTTTTTTCCACGTTCGTTTATTAACAGGTCCCACTCTATTCAGACTAATAATTATAATGGAAAAATACTCCTTTGGGTTGAACATTTACAAAACTTTTTAGAATCATCTTATGTCATAAAATATTTTCAATTAAAAAATTACGAGTAAATAAGAAGCGTCGCGGCTCACAGAGAATTACGCAAAAGAAACATATTAGAATATTCTTTATATTGGGAACATAAATTATGTTTTGTTTTCGATATCAGTGGCTAACATGTCAAATATTGACTTTTGTTTTTACTTAGGCAAACTATTCTACGAACGGTTCTTTCAGATATCCCCAGAATCTCAGCAGTTTTGTTGGTACACTCGCACAATTCATATACTGGCCAAGTTTGAAATGTATGCTAGTAAGCATTTATTATCATAACCTTCTCGGTTACAGACATTGCAGGGCGTGGTCTTTTTTTCTGCCTCCATTGTTGTTATGGTCACACGTACGCAAGCAAACACGAATGTAACAGAAAACCAAAACTTAACAAATAAAATAATACAAACGAAAACTCCACAACTAAAAACAAAAACTCAACAACACGATGCATACGTAGCAAAGAACACATGCGATAACGACAGCTGCCAGAAACCGAATGAAAAAAATTGCGGTGATGCACTGGTGGGGATGCAACCCGAAGACCTGACTCGTTATCCATCCATATCTATCAAAAATTGACTTTTCATTTTTTTATTCATTATAATTAACGCTATTTAGTAATTATCCAATCTATAATTTTAATTTTATTATTCTTAATTAATTAATAAATAATAATGATAAACAATATTTAATTTAAACAAGTATTAACGTTATAGTATTATAGCAATAAATTAACCCACTCCTGCTTAAAAGTATTTGTGTTTATATAAGAAATAACAAAAAATCGAATAAACAAAAAGAACAGCCAGAGGTTGTTCATCCTCGAAACATTGCCAATGGGATAAAAATCTTTCCACAGGATTATATAGTTTTTTGAGATTATCTTATTAAATATTGTTTTAAATAAAAAATAAGATTTGATAACATTTTGTTTGTACATGCACACAATTTAAAAACAATATAAAACATCTAGCATTAATTTTTAGCCCTTTTCACTGTTACACTATTCGTAGAATATTTTTTTGTAATGGCATCACCTTTGTTTACATTTTTGGACTTTTATTTCATCTCAGAGTTTAAAAAAAGCATTTCGTTAGCTTCACTACATATTTCTTGACAATCTTTTTACTTTCAATGCCCGAACAAATAAGTGTACACATTTTGGATAGAGTGACAAGGTTCTAATCCCCAAGCAGTGCACTTTCATACACCCTTGCATGCGGTTAATCAAAATTATATTAGCACGATACTGGGTGTCTACTCTCGATCTCGGTCCGACATCCGTCCGAAACAATTACTGCCAAATAAGCAATACTTGACACTTGTCTTTTAATTTTGTCGAATATTACTTATTTGACAGTAATTGTTTCGGACGGAGATCGAGAGGGGGGCTGCCCTGTCTCGTAGTCACGTAATTTTCATGTGCATAGAAACAATAAATTATGAAAATACAAAACATTGTATTTTTATAATTTATTCAATTTGTTTCTATGCTCATTTCTTTCTACTTTGTTATTTTTACAAAGGAAGATAATGCTATAATTATCAATACAAAGATCGAACACTTAGAAAAAATTCTTTCAATCCGGCCGGATTCTAACCGACATCTTCTAGCAAACCGTGTCATCTTTGTATTAATAATTATAACAAACTAGTGGAGTAATTTCACATCAAAAATAATTGAATGTGAATTCATTAAAAATTTTAAATATGAAATTAGTTTTTCAATATTGCAACCAATACTATAATTAATAGTTTAGCAATGATGGGAGTCGTTTCACGCTTTTAACAAACAGTTACAAGTTTGTAGATTGTCCTCATGGTTATGATATCACAAACAAACCATTTAGTGGTGGTTACTAGTTTCACCATTTTATATTATTATTTAATTTTAGTAGCAAAAGAGCTCGTTGTGAAAGAGTTCATTTAAGGAAGTACTGCCACCTTACCTATATCTGCTGCCAAGCAGCAATGTGACCATCGCTGCGTTCCAGTTTTGAAGGATAAGGGCGCTGGTGAAATTACAGGCACAGGGGACTTCTCAATTTATGTCTCAGGGTGACACGCGCAGTGGCAGTGCCTCTCAGATCTATGTGATGTGCAGCTCTAAGTGGCACTGCAACTGTTATGGACAGGCGTGTAGCTTACCACCAGGCACACGACTTGCTCGTCCCGTCACTTAATTTAAAAAAATTTTGACAAATTTTGATTTGGTTATGAATTTACATTCTTAAAGCTTTTAATTTTGTTATATTTGTCAAATAATGTAATTGCAATATAAAAATTATTGAGTGACATATTTACCCTGTAGTACATGTCTTTTCAATGGGCTTGAAATAACACAACTCCAGCCTCATGGAATCTACACTCCCTGTTTCCAGATTTCTGCAATTCTCCGGCTTCTGTTTTTCCAAACATTTGTATATTTCTATTTTTTGTTTGTCCAAATTATTTTTTTCCAAACTTCTACTTGATTCAGGGTTTTTATTTTCAGTGATATTAGATTTATGTTGTAAAATCCCTGATTGTGGAAGAGGCAAGGACACAAGTAGCGATTTTACAACACCTGTAGTTTTTTCGTTGACACCTTCTGCATTGTTTTCAGTTTCTTTTTGACTAGGGTGAACATCGTCTGGCTTCTCATTCATCTACAAAATTAAACACCATATTAACAGTATAATAATAAGGTAAGTCACAATAAGCATAGTGCGCTTCATTGCATCTGGTTAAGTTACAAACAATTAATATTTATACATACAATTTATTAAAATAAAACAATGACATGCAGCATTTCAACAAAGAGATAAGTCAAGAACAAAATCTTACTTTTTCCTTGTCTCTTTTTCCATTTTCTTTATTCCAGAAACTGGAGCCAGTTTTGACTTTGTGATCTATTAAATTTTTAATGATTTTACCATAACTTGGTACCACTTCAGGTGATGCCCTGCTATTCGATTTTATGGTCGCTTTGCAAGTTGAGTCTGAATTTGTGCTGTCATCAGTTAACAAGGGACTGCTGTAAAAATGAAATTGTGAGGACAGTCAAATCATTTGCAACGGCAAACTCGCGCTCCCGAAGTTAATTGATTTTCTACTGTAGAAGTGAGAACGGAACTGTAAAAATATTGTGAAACTATTAAGAACACACTGTAAACGATGTGGTAGTGTTATATCGGCATAACAATCCCGAAATCAACAATAACATCAAGAAATGGAAGACTAAAAGTCTTCCATTTCCATCAGCACCAGCAGCATCAGCAACTGCACTAAGCAAAGTGAAAAGCCCGAAACCACATCGTCAATAACTTTTCAAAAACTGCTCACTCTGCAAGAGTATCACCCAGGCCTCTACAATAGTACTCACTAAGTGAAGTGAATCAATAAACAAACATGTTCCTAAATCCAAGCCTATGTCCAAAAAGTATCCGATTTGGTTTTCACGTGACCTTATAAGCCTATTACGTGAAAAATATAAGTACCGCCAGAAGCTTCGGAAGTTTAACAACAACCCACGCGACAGATTAGCGTTTGATCTTGCGAAGTCCCATTTTGATAAACTGAAAAATATCTGTTACAAACAGTACATCGCTCGTCTGGAGAACAACCTTCGTCCGAATCCAAAATTTTTCTAGTCTTTTGTGAAAACTAAACGCAATAATAATGGCCATTATCCTTCTCAAATGTACCTGCACGAAAAATGTGCAGTTGGTAGCAAAGGTGTCTGTAATCTGTTCGCTAATAACTTTGCTTCGGTATACAACAAATCTACTAGCCCCTCTTCTGCGGTCTGTAGTACACCGGCTCTAACTAGCAGCTTTTTAACTATGGTTCAGTTCAAGGACGACCAGGTCTTCAAAGTTTTGGAGAGACTCGACCCTTCGAAGGGAGCTGGACCCGATGCTATCCCTTCTAAATTTGTGGCCATGTGTGCCCCAGCATTGGTTCATCCACTAATTTTTAATACGTCTCTGAGCACAGGTGTCTTTCCGACTGCATGGAAAAGGGCTCTTATAGTACCGTTGCATAAGAGTGGACACAAAGAAGCTGTAAACAACTACAGGCCTATTTCCATTTTGCCAATCTTTGCTAAGGTCTTTGAGCGCTTGCTGATCCCCATACTATCTTGGCTTTTCAGGGGCATAGTGCTCGCAGAGCAACACTGATTTACTAAGGCACGATCTACAGTTACTAACCTCGTTTAATTCATCGATAATATCTCACGCTCTCTTGACCAGCGCTCGTCTGTAAGCGCCATTTACACTGACTTCAGCAAGGCTTTTGATAAAGTTAATCATCAACTTTTTCTACGTAAACTTTCCATATACGGTATTGCAGAGCCTTTGCTGGGTTGGTGCGAGTCGTATTTGCGTGGCAGAACGTCTGTAGTGGTTGTAAATGGAGATTCTTCGGATCCTTTTGGTGTTTCTTCAGGCGTGCCGCAGGGTTCACATTCGGGCCCATTGCTTTTCAATATCTTCATAAATGATATAGATCAGTACTTTAGGCACACGCGGATCTTGCTTTTTGCTGACGATTTGAAATTTTTCCGAGGTGAATACCAATGATGATATTGCGAAATTACAAGAAGACATTAACCGCTTAGACTCCTGGTGTGACAATAACCAAATGACTTTAAATGTCTCTAAATGTTACGTAATGTATTTCACCAAAAAAACTAAGCACGTCTTCTAAAAAACTACGCAAAATTCACGATTAAAGGTGATCCCATTTCTAATGTGAGCCAAGTTAGAAATTTGGGCGTGTTGCTCGATAGCAAACTTCACTTCCATATCCACATCGACAACATCGTATCTAAGGTTTTTCAAACCCTCGGTTTCGTCTTGCAAAACTGTAGGGACTTTAAGTCGCCTAGCATTAAAATTATGCTGTACAATTCTTTGGTGCGAAACAGGTTGGAGTACTGTATTATTATATGGAACCCTTTCTATGACGTGTACAAAAAGAAACTCGAAACGGTGCAGAAAAGATTCTTGTGGCACTTGACCTATTCCTGTTTATAATAAATTAACAAATGTAATTGAAACAGTGTCCAATAGATGTCACTAAAAATAGTCAACAAAAACTTGTTATGTACTCTCGTTGACTCTGCAGAAGAGTATAAAAAAATCATCAGTCTCATAAGGGAGAATAGTCTTATAGGAGACACCTTCACAAGGAAAGACAATAAATGTTATAGATTTGTTATTAAAAATCTTCATCACACTACTCCACATAGCCCTCTTATCGAGGTAGTTGAAGCAACTGGTAACAACGTGAAAGGGAAAATAATAAATGCACGCTACGGGCCAGAAAAAACACCAAATCCACATTCATCGTAAATCTCGAACCAAGTATAAATAATAAAAATGTTAAAAAGACCAAGTATATTTTCAACCAAAGCGTTAAAATCGAAGACCCTCTTAAAACAAATACAATTGTTCAATGTCAACAATATGGACAATCCAAGAATAATTGTATGAAACCTTTCAGGTGTGTCAAGTGCAGTGAATGGCACAAAATCTCCGCCTGTCCCAATAAAAGACGGAAACTCCCCTGCAAGGTACGCTTTATGATCTCTCGTGCATCCTGCTAATTACAAAGGATGTGAAGTCTACCAGCTAGTACAAGCAAGACGTAAGACTACACAAATAACGCACTAAAACAGACTTCTTCTAACTTAACCTCTGCGTTACGAAAACCGCCCGTGTTATACAATGCGACTACCGACCCTGTCATCACAACAACCACCTCGAGGACCCCTTTGTTTAACTTGCCTACATCAAGCGCTATATCATATGCTGACATAGTTAAAAAGCCCATTGAAAACCAACAAACCAGCAGTGCCGTTGAAATCATGCTTCTGAAGCAAAGTGAAAAATTGGATACATTAATTCCACAAATAAGTACCCGTGTTAGCCTTATTACCATCCAAATCGCTAATGTCACAATGACTTCTCTGCGCATAGCCAACGTGGAACATCAATAGACTTGCACCCAACACATGTGAATTAGAAACATACATTGTTCGCAACAGACTTGATGTTGTCCTCATCTCAGAGTCACACAGCTATAAACATCAATAATTACTGCACCTACGTTACTCCCCACACTGATGGAAACGCTGGGACAGCTATGGTGGTCAGAAAATGTATTAAACATCACCTACTAGAACCTTATGTAACGGAACATTTGCAAACTACTTCAATCAAATTAATGGATAGAACTGGCACAACAAAGTTGCCAGTGTTTTACTACAGTGCCCACCTAGGCGCAAAATAGATGAAGTAATGTTCTCACATTACTTTATTACACTCGGGCAACGATATGATGGTGATTGGAATGCTAAACATACCTACTGGGGCTCCGGATTTATTGTAACTAAAGGCCGGCAACTAAAGCGGGGCATTGACATCAATCGCATCTATCCAATATAGTCTGGTAAACCAACGTACTTGTCCACCGATGCCCAAAAAGCACCTGATCCTGATCTGTTAGACTTTTTCATCACAAACACATTTCTTATCTTTACACTACAATCGAATCAAGCCTAGATAGCTCGTCTGATCACACACCTGTCATTCTCACACTGAGCACAACGGCTATATTGCGTGAAACTACAAAGAAGAAAACCACACAATCACAAGACCAACTGGGACTCGTTTCGTCATTACCTGGAAAACCATAGCAACCTTAGCAGATAATGATAGAGGATTGATTGATGAAGCGTGCGCCTACATACATAATCAGCTCCAAATCGCTGTTTGGAAAAATACTCCAGTGACTAACCCAAAATTGAAACCAACTTGCCTACCAATGCTAATTTTATTCTTAAAATTACTGAAAAAAGACGATAGTATGACACCAGTCTTGCCTATCTTCTGATAAAACTTTCTTAAATAGGGCCATTAAGGAGTTGAGACAATTAAAGGAATGCTTAGAGGAAAGTAACTTAATCCCACATCAATATGGGTTCCACTCAACACTCCACTGTCCAATAAATCCACCGAGTTTACCAAACAATTAGACAGCTTATGGAAAGGAAAGAATATTGCTCAGCTGCTTTCATTAACGTACAACAGGCTTTTGATAGTGTGTGGCACCATGGACTGTTGTATAAAATTAAAACTCTACTACCTCACTCGATTTATTCCATAATCAAGTCTTATCTTGACAACAGTCTTCCAAGTAATCTAGATAAAGTGGTGAGGGAACATCCGCATTTTACACTTTCGTGCGGGCGTGTGGCAGGGATCTGTGCTTGACCCAATACTGTGCATGATATACACATGCGATTTAACACAGTCCCCTGATGGTGCTATCGCAACATTTGCTGATGATGCTGCTTTTCTGTCGTGCAGTTCCAACCCCAGCGTAGAAAGTGCACAACTACAGAGGCGACTAGCACTATCTCTGCATGGTTGAAGAAATGGTGAATCAAAGCAAATGCTACTAAATCGTAACACATTACCTGAGAAGAGGCAACTGTCCACCTGTAAAACTTGGAGTAGATAGCCTATCTCAAACCTTGACCGCTGTCTGACCTGGAAGGTACTGTAGACTAGGCATTATGGTTTGTGTTAGTGCTGGCTGAATGAATATAGGTTTGTGTTTAGAATTATATACGAGGGGAGGTCCAAAAGTCCGCGGAATGGAGGGGGCGGGAGCCCGCTAATTACGCTTGCTTGATGTGGTACTAATCAGATACTCATTAGGGGTATATATATCAAGCTTCACCCTTTTAACTTCATTAGTTTACGAGATATCGCCCTACAAACAAGTAAATCCGGAAGAAAACTGCAAATATGGAGCAAATCGAGTTTCGTGCTGTCATCAAATTCCTTACCAAGCAAGGAAAACCTCCTCAAACCATTATGAATGAGATGGAAACTGTTTATGGGGATCAGTGCCCTGGTAAAACAATGATTTACAAGTGGCACGTTCTTTTCAAACATGGCAGAGAATCAATTGAAGACGATCCTCGCCCAGGACGGCCAGTTGAGGCCACCACATCAGACAATGTTGAAAAAATCGAAAAATTTATATTGGAAGATGCCCGTCTGAAGAAGAAACAGCTGTCTGCATTAGTAGGAGTATCAGACACTACCACTTTGAGGATCCTACACGATCATCTTGGCATGACGAAAGTCAGTGCAAGATGGGTGCCGAGAATGCTCACGCCGCCCGCCTCAAAAGCAACAAAGAATCGATGCATCAAAGCACTTCTTGGAGCTGTGTGGCGCAACCTAACCTACCCCAATTTTGGAGCAAATTGTTACTGGAGATGAAACTTGGGTTTATCACTTTGAGCCCGAGTCCAAACAGGAGTCAATGCAATGGCATAAAAAGGGTACACCACCCCCTAAGAAGTTTAAGGTGTCGGAATCGGCTGGAAAAATCATGGCTACGGTTTTTTGGGATTGTGAAGGAATTTTATTGGTTGACTACAAAGAAAAGGGGGTCAATATAACGGGAGAATATTACGCAAGAACATTAATAATAAATATAAATAACGCACACACTCAACATAGCCCCGCACTAGGGAAACCCTGTGTCGCGGGTGCCATGGACACACACATAGACAACCACAAATTACACCCAAACTCACGAGAGAAATAATTGTAGGCCATACAACTATTTCTCTCGGCCCGGGAATCGAACCTGGGACCTCTGCGTGGTAGTCCGGCATGGTAACCGTTCGGCCACGGAGGCAGTTAAAATTAGAGAGACTGAAACATTAGAGAGACTGAAGGAAGCTGTCAAAGAAAAAAGGCGGGGAAAATGGACAAAAGGTGTGTGCTTTTGCAAGACAACACACCGGTTCACAAGAGCAATGTTGCGATGGCTGCTCTACACAAGTGTGGCTTTCAATCGCTGACCCACCCACTTACAGCCCGGACCTAGCCCCCAGCGATTATTATTTGTTCCCAAATTTGAAAAAAGAATTACGTGGGAAAAAATTTCGCGACGATGAAGAGGTTAAGGCAGCAATTTTAGCTCATTTTGAAAGCAAAGAGAAAAAATATTTTTTCGATGGCATAGGAAAGCTAATTCCGAGATCTAAAAAATGTATTGAGCTCAAAGGTAATTATATTGAAAAGGAAAAATAGCCTTATTGTTTTATATTATTTACAACCCCTTCATTCCGCGGACTTTTGGGCCTCCCCTCGTATAAAACGAGCCCTGTACCCCACTGTACCCACAATATCTTTTTTGCACCATATCGCGAAGTATGCGTTCTATTTCTATCAGAGAGTAAGAACTTGTAGCTTTATATATATAAATAAAAATAGGATTAAAAAAAGAAAATCTTGGTTGTTCTAGTCGATCCGATAACACGCAGTAAATCTTTATTCATGAGTATAATCCTCGTTTATCTTTGAAAAGTGCCTCTACACTCTTCACAGTACATTATAAAGCATACAAGAGACGAATTCAATAACAGATTCAGAAACTTGTTATGGCTTCTGGGTAGGCTGTCCACCCTGTCTCTTAGTAACAAGCTCATGGTGTACTGTGCCATATTGAAGCCGATATGGCTTTACGGCATTCAGGTAAGGGCCACTGCCTCCAATTTAAACATCCATAGCCTTCAAAGAGTCTAAAACAACATCCTTCGAACTATCAGTGGTGCTACATGGTACACCAGAAACACTTGATCCACGAATACCTAGAAGTGATGGACCTGTATAGACATAAACACAGGTATCAGCTCAATACTCATCCGAATCCTCACGTTAAAGCACTAGTTGATGGTGGCAACATAGAGACTGAAACGACAGCATGTGTTCGATGAGTAGGAGAGGCTGAAGTCGCAACTGGCAACTGATTGTAGATACATAATAACAAAAAAAATAAAATATTGTGAGGTACATGTTTAAAAGCACACATTTTTTTTAAAGGTAAGACTTACTCTCTGGGAGCTGGAATAGTAGAAACAGTAGCTATCTGTCCTCGAGACAAGTATCCATCAATCTTAGTTGCCTTAAGCCGTGGTCTGGCAGCATTGACTCTACTGGTCTTTCCGGTCACCATGACAGCTTTGACAGGTTCTTGTTGCACTAGCTGCTTTGCTAAAACTTCATCTTGTTTTAGTCGCTCCAAGTATTTCTTCTGAGATTCTTGCTCTTCTTCTTGTATTTTTCTGAAAATTTTGATAATACATTCCTTAGCATTATTGTATGTGTGATATACAGGTGTCCCAAAATAGGGTGTACCACGTCAGAACGACACTATGGGTAGGTGAGCTATACACCTGCCAGAAAAAATGATTTGACCTTAGGCCTTAGAATAATAACGCATAGAAACCTAGCCCGCACACGCTAAATGAGGCAAGTTAGAGGCTTCCCAACGGGCTCCCATGAGCGCGCGGGCTGTTAGTGCTCAAGGTCAAATTGCACCGCGAACAGCTCCAAAATTTTTTGCTAAAAATGACGAAACGTGCGGTAAATGGGTGTAAAAATAGAACAGACAAACATAAAATAGACACTAACATCACATTCCACAAGTAAGTAATGCGTTTCAACTTCAAGGGGAGCATTCTTAAGCGATTTTTTAATCTATTTTAACAGTTATTTTCTTTAATGTTTGCTTATGGCATTTTCGGTTTTAGGTTTCGAATATGGCACTTATTTCTAAATCCAAGATGGCGGGCGCGATTTTTCGAATAATGGCAAGTTGGGTATCGTTTTCGAGATGTTTGGGAATGTTCAATACAAATATGGCACTCATTTCTAAATCCAAGATGGCAAACACGACAGTTCAATCAAAAGCAATATTCCTAATGATCACCCCCAAATACCTCGAAAACGATACCCAACTTGCCATTATTTGAAAAATCGTGCCCGCCATCTTGGATTTACAAATAGTGCCATATTCACATTGAGCATCCCCAAATACCTCGAAAATGATACCCATATAGCATTTTTTTGAAAAAATCGTGCCCGCCATCTTGGATTTAGAAATGAGTGCCATATTCGTAATGAGCACCCCCAAGTACTTCGAAAATGATACCCATATTGCATTTATTTGAAAACTCGTGTCCGCCATCTTGGATTTAGAAATGAGTGCTATATTCGTAATGAGCATCCCCAAATACCTCGAAAATGATACCCATATAGCATTTTTTTTGAAAAATCGTGCCCGCCATCTTGGATTTAGAAATGAGTGCCATATTCGTAATGAGCACCCCCAAGTACCTCGAAAATGATACCCATATTGCATTTATTTGAAAACTCGTGTCCGCCATCTTGGATTTAGAAATGAGTGCCATATTCGTAATGAGCATCCCCAAATACCTCGAAAAGGATACACACATAGCATATTTTGAGAAATCGTGTCCGCCATCTTGGATTTACAAATAAGTGCTATATTCGTTTTTCATCGACAAAACCGAGCATATCTGTAGGCACCTGATCGACAATGTCGGGCAAATCTGTAGGCACCTTTAACTTAATGATGAGTTAAGCAAGATACAATTTCCCCACTTTTGAGGGAAATGTTATTCCATGGCATCATTATTTGTATATTTGTGTGCGTGCCGACGAGCGTAGTTACAAGTTGCTTACGCCTACATGAATTTGGTTTTTGCCTCACTTGTGACAGTCGTTTGATATGAAACTATCATTCTATGCGTTATTATTCTAAGCCTTAGGCTTAGGAAAGTCTTTTGATTTTAGAGATATTGGCGCTTTAGTTTTTTTGGAAAAACTCTGTTATTTAATTGGTTTTATTTTTTATTTATTTATTCCAGACCACATGACCCATATAATATATACCTTAAGGAAAATCATACATAAAATATAATAAAACACTATTTCTAACTAATCTACACGAATTGCACTTGTCGGCGACGTTAGGCGCAATCTGGTGTCAGGTAACCGACCGCGGAATCGCCGATCTTTTTTCTTTACCCTTCGACCAAAATTCTTCCTTTATGAAGGTCGACAGATGTTCGGTCGGTAGTCTGATGAGAAAAACTTTGTGGTGACAAACGAATTGAAATTCACGTTGTAGCGGGAATCCAAATGCTCGACCCTCAAGGTGTATTTGGCATTATGTCTGATGTACTTCACTATCTCCTCAGACTTCGTGGAGTAATGCAATCGCGACAGGTACAGCAGCGTCGTTGGTACGGCCGGACGCAGCAGGAAGTTCGGTCCTGTCGGTGCTGTGCCACACTGGTTACGGCTGGTGGACTTCCTCTTCTCCTTCCCCACTTTTGTGAAGCCGTCCTCGTCGAGGACGCAACGACGCAATGTCCTTCAGCAGCCTAGTGACAGCAACGTTGTCGAATGTTACTGGGGGCAGCTTGTGCGACTCCTTCGCCATGAATGTGGGCACGTCGTCCGGGTCAGTCTCCTTCAGGAGTGTGATGATATCTTGGAGACTCTTCACGCCTCTATCCCTCTGGCGAGATGGCATCCGTTCGGCTTTACCGAGGCTCTGGAACAACAGCACCTTGCAAATCTCATCCTCATAGAAATGCGATTAGCAGATCTGCACAATGCTGGCTTTGTCCATGGTGTTGATGGCGTGTTGAATAAACGCCAGGACCTCATTGGCAAAGAGTTGCTGGGAACCCATTGTCAATTACGCACAGCGGCCTGTGCCGCGCGAGACGCGAGTTATAATTAATAATTAACTCACTGCGTAGTGGAGCATCCGGTTCCGAACGCGTTTTTTTATGCTATTATTGCCAGGATTAACTCCAGATGCAAGTTATTTTTATTTTTTGGGTATTCTGAATAGTTTTTCCAGGTACTGCAACTTTTTTTTTTAAATTGTATGAAACGGAATTTGCTAATGATCTTAAAAACTATTCCACTTTATAAAGAATCAGGAATGGTACAATACTATTGAAATTTTTGACAAGAGCTTAGTCATTTTGTTTTTTTCGTCATCAACACCCTACTAGCCGAATTGGCTTCTAAACTAAAGTGTGTTAAATTATGGAACTTTATGGCAAGCTACTCTGTCGCTAGAACCCCATGTAGTAAAAAATGAGCGAGAGGTATGACCCTTACTTGTTATCTCTCTCTCTTACGTCGGTATCAGTCACTATTGACCGAGTGGGAAAGAGTCGGGTCGAACTCGTAAGTTGGTACTTACAGTTCGCTCGTAAGTTAGTAATAATTGAATATGCTGACATGTACCTAATTTACAGCGAAACTAGACGTGTTTCGGCTCGTGGCATCGTATCATTAAATGCATTAGCAGTAAAATTGTATATGGAAATATTTCCTAACCACAATGCCAAGTTGTTGATATGATTACTAAAATACCGTTCTGATCGTTAGCAAATGAAAGACCAAAGTGATGCCAAGTTGCGGAAAGTTTAGAAACAGGCTTCTGTTTCTAACTTTAACTTACAAGCCTTTTTTTTTACGTTGGGAAATACTCATCGATATCTCTCTGCTGCAGGGGCAACAGAGAGATCATGTCCGACTCCAACCGACTAAAACCCCACGGTGTTCCGTCCCTGCACCTTTTGCCGGGACTATGAGAACGCTTTCGCACTCTTCCGCGGTCCCTACAGCGCTACTTACAAGCCTAACCCAACCCTATACTATCCCAGCCGGCCGATAGATAACAAGTAAGGGTCATACCTCTCGCTGATTTTTTACTACATGGGGTCCTAGTGACAAAGTAGATTGTCTAGAAAGCTCAATAATTTAACACAATTTTGTTTAGAAACCAATTCGGCTAGTAGGGTGTTGATAGTGAAAAAAATTAAATGACTAAGTTCTTGTCAAAAATTTCAGTAGTATTATACTATTCCTGATTCTGCATTAAGTGGAGCAGTTTATAAGACCATTTGCCAATTCAGTTTCTTACAATTTCTTTTCACACTAACTATTCAAAGTTAATGTTCCACTTTTGAAAAGGATATGAGGTATACAAAATTAATAACTTTTTTCACATTTTATGATGTTTCTCAGTAAAATATTAGTTGCAGAACCTGGAAAAACTAGTTTTCAATCATTACCCGAAAAATAAAAATAACAAGCATCTAGAGCGAACCCAGGCAATAATAGCATAAAACCCAACAAAAAGTAGTTTTTCCAAAAAAATAAAGATATATATATATATAATATTTCGAAAACCAAAAGACCTGCAGTGTTGCTCTGATGTGGTATTTTTGGGGCACCCTGTATAGAGATTCTGTATTTTTGGGACACCTGAGATTCAAAGTCAAATAATCATGAATTCCGTAGGTAAAATTTTGTACACTTATTATTTAAAGTACTGCTTGTTCCCTGAGAAGAATGAGCGAGATACTCTAGGAATTGCACTTTTCAAATAAATTTCAATGCTATGGAATACACTTTGAATCATATTTGTGTGAAATCTAGACTCATATTGTACTTCCATACATCTTTATCTAAATGTAGTCTTCAATTTTTTAATATGACTTTTCAATTAAAATACTTTACAGAGAATCGATTACCAACATAGAAAAAAAGTTAAACACCGTACTTAATTAGAAGTTCAGTCTCTTGCATGTGCTTTTGTTCTAGTAGTAAGCGTTCAGCCTTCAATCTCTTTAGCTCTGCCTCATATTCAGACCTTATTTCTCCAGGTGCACTCAGTCGAGGTGGTAAATATTTTTCTACAATAAACAAAGAAATATTTAGGAAAACAAACGATACAATAGGGGCCATGTTATGCGTTAGTGGCTAAGCTTACCGTCAGGCACAATTACATCTTCACCCTTCAACTTGACATCAATTTCTTTTGAAAACTTAGATTGTATATACTCCCAGAGTTCCACATTCACTAGATTTTTTTGTTTTGTTGCTGTTCTCAACCAAGATCCTATTCGAAGTCGGCAAAGAGGACAACACAAAGCATTATTTTCTACGCTGCCATTGAAACAGTGTTGGCAGAAATAGTGCTTACACGGCAAAGTTACAGGTTCTATGAGAATTGATTGACAAATTGAACACACGACATCCTTTAACTGCAATTTTTCCAATTTTATTACTTTATTTTCTAATTTCAACAGCCGCTTCTTTAGTTTGGCCGACATTTTTGACAAACAAATGACAATTAGCTTTCTGAAGGTTGCCGTTCTGATTTTTTTTATTTGTCTATGATTAGTGTTGGGTCAAAAATCTTATTTTTTTCAGAAAATTAGTGTTTTTTTTCCTTTATTTTTTCCATCCTCTAAGGTTTATATCTTAGAGGAGGTGGAAAAAACATAGTCTAAGGTTTTTCCGCATATTTTTCCTTTTATTTCCACATTTGACGTTGACACCTATCAAAAATTAAAGTTACTGAACGAAAACGATGGAACCATTAAAAAGGTTTTTTTCGCTGTTGTGAAATCATTTTAAATCTCGTTTTTCTTTAAGTGGCTTTTAGGGTTGTATTCCAGAACTCTAGTCAATGCTCAAGTCAGGAATTGAGTACGATTTCGAGCACAGTAGAAATCATACTTAAGTCCTGACTTGAGCATTAAGGAGAGTTCTGGAATACAACCCTCAGTAAAGTTTATTTTATATTACGAGCTGAATAAAACTTCAAAAGATATTTCTAAACGTAGAACATAATAAGAACCTTCGAAAATTGGTAGGTCAAAGCTTCAAAATTATGTTTTTTCACGAACTTGTATAAATCCGTGTATTTTTCTAATTTTTTAAATGTTTCAAATTTTTCGGGAATTGTTCCTGAATTCTACTATATATATTTGAAGTTTTTTAGAAAGTTACTCAACAGTATCTATAATTGATTAATGATTGATCTACAAATTTTTAAAAAAACAGTTGTATCTACTGTTAGGTAATTTTCCGAAAAGTTTCAAACTGTGGAAATTTTTCCAGAGTCAACAGTCAAATCTGGAAAAATGTAGGAGATACAAACCTATCTTCGCGTTGGCCTAGGATCGACCAACATCCACCCCAAATGGGTTCCTACTTGTCGAGGCGGGAGCTCGGTAGTCGTGGTCGATTTCATCTCACGGTGTAGCTAAATGCTTTGCCAACCTATGGGCTGGCCGAATGTGCTAGGCTAGTGTTTGGTCATGGAAAAAAAATTCCATTTTTTTTCAAATCAAATTTTTCATAAAATAAATATATTTTCCGGATATTTTTCCTTTCTTTTTTTTTTCCACATTTGACGTTGACATCTGTCAAAAGTTAAAGTTATTGAACGAAAACGATGGCACCATCAACAAGTGGAGGTGGTGTGGTTGTTAGATGTTTTTTCGCTTTTGTGAAATCATTTTGAATCTCGTTTTTCTATTAAGTGGCTTTTACTTATACAAGTTTATTTTATTCACGCTAAATAAAACTCAAAATATATTTCAAATCGTAGAACATAATGTGAGCCTTCCAAATTATATTTTTCCAATTAAAAAAAATTTCCACCATTTGAACTTTTTCGGAAAATTACCCAACAGTACCCTTATATCCATCTATAGTGGAGAAGAGGAACACCCGGGAGTTTGGCGCGGTCGGGCGGCTCCCGTTCAGGGTTCAGCCCAGTACCACGTAGCCCCGCGTCTGCTAGGGGGTCGGGGTATCTGTAAGCAGATTCCCCCGGGTCAAAAAAAAAGAAGGCTCAACCAACATGTATTGCAGGCTTAGGCTCAACTCACACTGGTGCAGAGTCGAAGCGTGGCGACGCGTCATGTTGTTCGCCTATAGCATATTCATCTACATCGTCGCGCGTCGACTCGCGTCGACGCGCCTCGCCTCTCCATTCCATTTTTGCAAAACACAATTTTGTACCTGCAATTGGAAAATGTAGATGAATATGCTGTAGGCGAAAAACATGTCGCGTCGCGACGCTTCGCCTCTGCGCCAGTGTGAGTTGAGCCTTAAGGTACATGATGTAATTGTGTAACGGATTATTTTCCGCTACTTAACGTCGCAGCTGACGGTTCAGCTTATCCTAATTTTATATATATGTCAAATAATATCAAACTTGACTTGACTAATATCCTTGATAATTTAAAATAAATAAAATAATTACATATTAAAACATATGTGCATTATAACCAATGGTTTTATGCCAATAAAATCTTTCAATTTCATGTTCATTTTTTTTCTTTCATTGCAGGCACTTGCCAACTGTGAAGCCTGTGAAAAAAAAATTGACAAAGACAAGAATTAAATGAGTACCAACATTGCAGGCGAAGAAGCCATGTTGATTATTTTCTTTCTTTTTTCGTCATGTACCGACTCACATGTATTTGATGAGAACGAAAACGATCACGCAAGAGCAACATCCACGAGAAATATGGTGGTTAGAAGAGAATTTTAGATTGTGGTGTTCTTTTGTTCTTAGACAAATTGTGCAGCAAGAGTAACAAATGTTTGAGTAATCCTTTGCAAATTTGATGCGATCACGGAACAGTATTCACGAAAATGTCTTCGATGCATTTTGTGGTTCATCCATTGCCTGGTACAGAGGATCAATTGATAGACAGGTAAACAAATTTATCGGTTCACTCGCCTCCATTACGTTCATCTTGTGAAATCCGACATTCCATGATTAGCAATGATAGTGAATTTTGGTAATCTTACAATTTTCTCCCAGATGGCCACGTTTTCCCGTGGCCTGTAAGAATTTTCCAATGACGTTTATCCGCAGTACTGTGATATCCATTATCATCCTAGGGTGCAGTATATTGGATGGCGTAATCGTAGGTTTCAACACTTGCGAACCCCGCTTACAGGAATTGTCGCAAAGGGTGGCGTTTTCTTCGAACAAACAAAGGGGATGTAAAAAAATCGATGTAAACATTTAGGATTCTCGGATTCTAATGATTCCGAGAAGTAATTTTTATGTAATAGTATTTTTATATCATTGCATGCACTCTTAAATCAGTCATCATTTACTATCCCTGTGACTTGCAAATATTTGTAAAATGCAGTCATGCAATCATGTTGTGAAATATTTTAAGTACATACCTACTTTTCACTTTTAAACATACTATGGCTAAATAAAGGATTCCTTGAAAAAATTAACTAACTCACATAATTTATTATGCCAAATGAGAACATTCAGTTGATTTGCTTCATAAGTTTTCATTCTGAGTAAATAGAAACTCTTAAACAGCCTTTTCCTCATGTTCCTACTGGTAGGACCTAAAGGATAAATATGTCCTTGTGCTCCTACTAATGTATTGTCAACTATATTTATATGTAATTGATGTTGTATTGGGGGTATTACCGATATTAATAGAATTTTTATACTGCAAACACATGCTGTTAGGACAATTTACAATCTTGCCCCCTGAGCATCTTTGAGAGATAGTCTCTTTATGAAAAATAGTGACAAACATACTAATAACATTAATAAGTGGAATAAAAATAGTTGTTCTTGATATCTGTCTTCACAATGTCACAAATTCATTTAAGGGGCAATGTATATACTTCTATGTATATAGTAAGATGCCAGTTGATTTTCAAACTTTGCCATTTATGAGGTAAAAAACTATAGTAATTGAAAAACTTTATACTAAAGGTGACATACAACTTCTGCGAAGGAACTGGGATGACAAAAATCCATGGTAGTGATCCGTTTAGCTCTTTTAGGTTTGTTTCTGTGTGTACATTTCAATTACAATATTAATTTTAAAGGCCAACCAACCCCTAGAGTTTCTTGATCATTCTTCTCAGGGGAAGCTGCCGCGTGCTGCTGCGAAACATGCGCTTAAAAACAAACTGACATGAAAACTAATGAAATTCACAACACACAAATTTATATCAGTTGTAATTTACAAATAGAGCTACTACATATATAACTAATTATGAGATAGAGCAAATGACTATAATACTAATTAATACGGATTGTTACTATGTGTACTAATATTAACAAACAAATACTATTTTATACTAGAGGTGTGCTTCCTACATTTTGTGACTTCAAAAAATAAACCCTTGAGCCATGAAATTGAACACAATTGGGACATTCTTTGACGTAAGGGAGATAATTACATATTTTTGTGGCTGAGTATTTGAAGCATCCTCTGAAGCCCCCTGTTCGAAGTGTAGACAATAGCATAATGATTAAATTTATTAAATTAAAATATAAATTTATTAAACATATTTGTTAAACAATATTTTTGGCAACATAAATTCATGTGTTAGTTTTTAGATGTGATAATTTTTTATGCCATAATAATTTATTCATTGTTAGATATCAATTTGTTACAAACCTATACTGAACTGTAATGAGTTCATGGTAAGGACCCTGGTCTAGCCATTGTAGGTAGTGCCCCAGAGTGAATACTGTTGCTATGGTGCTCATAGTACAGGGAATAATATCCTATTTCGAGAGTTCAAGTAATTGATGTGGTTGCTGGGCAGTCTTACTATTGTTATAGTTCATGCAGTCCTCACACTTAAACATTTTGTCAATTCCTGAATCAGTTGTGCAGCCCAAGATAGTTATGATGTCTCTGCCGTGTTTTGCTTTTGGTAATACTCAGCCTGGACAACAATTTTCCTACATGGCAGTGCATATAATTCTCATCAAAAGGACTAGCACAACAAGCGCGACCTGCGCGAGAGCGACATAAAGCGCGATATACTTTTATTTTTTATAATATCAAGTGACGGGACGGACAAGTCGTGCGCCTAATGGTAAGTTACACGCCAGAGCTTTAAATCGCAAAGATCTGAGAGGCACTGCTACTGCGCTCCTTACCCTGAGACATAAATTGACAAGTCCCATGTTCCTGTAATTTCACCAGTACCCTTACCCTTCAAAACCTGAACAGAGTAATGTTGACATTACTGCTTGGCGGCTGAAATAGATGAGGTGGCAGTACTTTCCTGGAAGAACTCTTTCACAAGGAGCTCTACTGCTACTACTCTATTTTATGCTAGAATAACAGTATCATGCGCTTTAAGTCGCTTTTGCGCAAGTCGTGCTAGCCCTACGGGTGTCCCAAAAGTTCAAAAAGAAAAAAAATTGTGATTTGAAAGAAAACAAAAATATTTTTGTGATTCATAATGTTTAATATCATTATAACACGAAATTGGCTAGTTCAGTGACTCTGGTCAAATGAGTCACTGAACTAGCCAATTTCGTATAGAATAAGTATAGATCATTAATAATTTAATTTAATTTCGTATAGAATTTCGTATAAAATAAGTATAGATCATTAATAATAGTCCAAAATAATTTGCCACCCTTTTATTAGGATTACATATATTATTACCACTTCTTGATTCTTTTTTTGCTTTTTGCATACTTAAAATTTAATTTCTTATTTTTATTACAACACATTTCTTACATTGTGTAGAGTTGTGATACATGTAAAAATTTGTTTAAATACAAAGAAAAATCCTTCTCAAGTCATACTTAGTGCGGTTAGAGGTTTAAAAAATCATATGTTACTAGAGTGTAATTCTCAATAGAAATTGCACTTTTGTTACAGTGTATTTTGAACTATTTGTAGGTTTACAAAAATTAAGCTGATGAGAATGGACTGTCTCTTGTGGATATACATGTTCCAGTGTCATGTTTAATAAGCTTAGTCAGAAACACTATTATGCCTATACATGAGTTGATTCTCTTGCAAGTTTTTAAAACATCGCATAGCGCACAGGTTATTCATCAACAAAATCTCAGTCAAGACTTTTGTAATTTAATCTAAAAAGTTATCGCCCTAACAGGTGTTATAAATGTGCATTTATACATTGATCCCAAAAAAGTATGTATAATACATGTTTCAAATAGGATCTAAGTCCTCAATATCACCTAAGTCCTATTTAGAAAATTCAATTGCGTTTTCTGTATATGATATTGCTTGAAGAAACCAACAATGCACCTTTTGGAAACAAATTGCTGGAAAAGCAATTTTATTGTCAGTGACACATAATCTTCAGATACTATGATGTTGTAGAAAGCTAAGCGATGTCTATATATCTACTCATTTTCTCATTTCAACACCTGCAATGAACACTACGGCAATTTAATTATTGGACCTGATTTGATTTTATTTTGTTTTTTGTTAGATTTTTGTAATATGTATGGCTGTTTACAAAAATAACAAAAAAATCATCGAAAAATAAACTTGGAGTAGTGTTCATTGGAGGTATTGATTTATGTGTTGTATGTAACTAAAATTGTATAATAATAACCAAATTGCTACAAACTTAAATTTTGATGGTATTGACTAAAAGCTAAATGTTTCACACAATGTTGTACAAATTGCTATAGTTAAATGAAGATACACTTTAGACGTTCTAATAAAATAAGACAAATGATAATCAGAGATTAGGAAGGTATGTGAATGTTAAACCACATTGTAATTTTTTGCCATGGTCTTGTTTTAGAATCAAAGAAGTAGCCGAACGTTGGAATAGATATGGCACTGGGGCAGGTTCATCAGCCCTCAGTTCCCTGCGGGGAGTTCGGGCTGTGGCTGCGGGCCCCGCACATATCGCTTGCCTTCTTGATGACGGCACCATCTGTCGAGCTGCCTTCTCCATCATTCCTGATAGACTTGACTTGAGTAAAGCTGATGCTAGTAAAAATGGAGGGAATGGTGGTGGTGGCAGCGGCGGTGGAGGGACAAGTGGGGGCAAGCAAGGCGGTAGCGGCGGAGGTTGCGGCTCGCGACAGCAGCCCCGTACTAGAGCTCGGATCATGAGAAATTCCATACGAGCAGCACCTACCTCACAAGGTATATTTTTAATGCCTTTTTTTGTTATAAATCAAATGTGGCAGGCTATATTATTGTTTTAGTTTGTATCTATGATGATTTTACAATTAGTTTCTTGTGAAATAATTTAATAATATGCACTATTGCGTGGTGTATAGGTGTCTACAGATTTGCTCGATTTTTTGACGACCGACACTTGTCGATCTACAAAAACGTATTTTTTGTAGATCGACCTGCTTCTTAGAAGTTTACTCGATTTTGTTGGATAACACGTGTTGATCGACAAAAATATATTCTCGATCGCTTGTAGCTTACAAATTTACTCGTTTTGTTTGATCATACATGTCGATTGCCAGAAAGTCAAGCAAATCGGTAGGCTACTTTTAACATCACATCTCTTGTTTTTGTCTTTGTGGCAGGATCGACAAGCCGTGCAACTGGAGTTATAATCGGTCCATCAGGCTCAGGCAGAGTAGTATCGGTGCCAGCCCCATTTGTGCCAGAAGATTTAGTTACACAGGCACAAGTCGTGCTCCAGGGCAAAAGTCGGAGTCTCATTATTAGAGAATTACAAGTACGTTATTAGATAATTAAGTGTTCATAAACACGTTGCGCATTAGTCAACTGTAAGAGCCTGAGCTTTTGCAACACATTGTTTTCTGTTCCTTACACTGTAGCGTACAAATCTGGACGTGAACTTGGCGGTGAACAACCTGCTATCACGCGATGACGAGGAGGGCGAAGAGCCGGAAGGCGGCGAAGGAGGTGACGGGTACGTGCCCGAGGACCTCATATCCCTGCTCGACGGCGGCTTCCACGCGGCGCAGCAGGATCACTCCGTCATCATCGACGCAGACGCCATGTTCTCTGAGGACATCTTCGGGTACGCGGCTATCAGAAGGTATACCTGTCCAGCTATGCTCCTCCGCCTCTTTCCTGCCTGTAGAACATAGTCCCACCACCTGATCTCGCACGCTGACAAGCTTACGCATTTTCCATTTTTTGTTGTGATTAGGTGTTTTATGTTCTAGCAAACACCATTTAGTTATTTATAGACGTTTAGTGTTTTGTATTAGGGCCGCAGGTCGACTTCAAAATAGTTATATTTCAAACTATCTCGTCTATTATATTGTTTAAGTTTATTTTTATCAGCGTGCAATAACCAGTCCAAGTAAAACAATCCCATAATTGAGAAATTGATCATTAAAGTTGGAGTCGACCTACTAATTCCAACACATACTTGATGTTGACGATAAAACTTGAATGTAGCCGTAGTGGTGGTGGCGGTAGCAGTGGCGGGCGCGGGGGCGCCAGCCGCGAAAGCAGCAGCTCCACGCAAGAGCGGCCTTCGGAGTTCAGCCGTTGGCGCGAGCGACAGTACTTCGGTCCGAGGCGATGGCTGGAGTCGGCACTGCGAGACACCTCGTGGGATAAAGATGGAGGTCAGTTCCTGAAACAAAGTAACTTTTAACTCGTTCATCTTTGCACTATACAAATTGCACCTTAATCTGTCAATATTTATACCAGATTTACTGTACTATTTTATGAGGAGATAAAGTAGTTTGTTCCACAGGTGAAAGTAAAAAGAAAGACTCTGCCATGACGGCATCTCCGTTGTGGGTGTCAGAGGAACTGGAGTATTGGGACAGCAACATCCGTTTTACGCACATCGCGGCAACATATAGCGAGCTTATTGCTGTGTCCACTAATGGTCAACTGCATCAGTGGCGCTGGGCTGATGCGCATCCCTACCAGCGTAATGACGTAAGTGATCACTTATAGGAAAACCGATCGTGACCTATTTTCTCAATGTAAAACAGATTCCGTTGTGTTGTCCGTGTTCCGTCATTGTATGCCTCAATGTGCAATAAAGTTTTCATCCCCTATTGAATATAACTACATATGGTCTTCGTGAAAATAACTCTATACAACCAATTTTGTTCGGTTAATCATATTATTACAATGTAAAATTATTTGTTTTAGCCTTCTGGTTCCGGCGTGACATACCATCCTCGCGCAAACTGGTTGGGTATGGGGTTAGGGGAGAAAGTGGTGAACATCAGCGCGGCTGGCATTCGGATCTCCGTGCTCACCGACGCGGGAAGGATCGCTACGTTCCTTGATGAGTCTATTGGTAAGATTTTTATGTAAGAGTTTGGTAAAAAAAGTTTATTCGAAAATTGTTGTACCTATGATTTTAGATAAACTGCCGTAAAATTTTAGGATTTCGAGTCCGCGTAATATGGGCGAAACAGCAACACATCGTGGAAAATGTCATCTGTACTTATTTAAATTCACGTACCATTAATATAAATTACTTCTTGTAAAAACTATTTCTATATGAATACATTTTAAAATTAATAATTAAAATAAGGTTATAATAACTAACTACGTGTTTTTGGCTAATTTTTTATTATTTTATATACTTGGAAATATAATTTTCGCCTGTCGGCTTAATTTTTTGTGATAAATTATCCATATTTCAAAATAATACAGTGTGTAACAGTCACTGAATAATGCGGACTGCGACAAACTAATTGGTGAAACGCCCTGGTCTTTCGTCTCGCAAACTATCAGGAAAGCAAAGCTTACGGCGGCTCACCTGTAGTTACCATTAGGGTTCTTAGCTCATGATTCATAAAGGTCCATCAGTAGATTTTAGTGTTTGTTTGTCGATTTTTTACCTGAAACTATTTAATGAACGCTTTGGCATTATTACAAATTCGTATGCACTTTTTGCCAATCAAAACACTGGCAGCTTTTTTAAATGATGTATTCTTTTAATCTCCTTGAGGTATTTGTTCTACTGAGATAAGGCACACTAAAATTACATGTATAATAAATGTTAACATTGTATTTATTGTAGCGCACGCTCCTGGAGCTTCTCGTTTGGAACACCCCATGCAAACATTCTCAGAGTTTGGGTCTGACAAAGCCATATCTCTGCACGTCTGTTCGCTTTACACAGTGGCGAGACTTGAGTCTGGAGCTCTTTATTGGTGGTAAGTGTAAATAAAAACATGTATTGTGTGTATTGAAACTATTTGACTAAACATAGTTCACATAATTATAGTACAGTGTTAAAATATTTCAGTTCCATTGAATTATATTTTAACATTGACTTTGACATAATTCAGTTAGACGGCTCTTCCAACTTAAAAAACATTTAAATGCACAGTGAAATGGTTTCAAGCTAATAACACCTGTATCAACAAAGTTTCTCAATTTGTATTCATTGTTGTAGTTTACTCGCGTGAAAGACCATTATTACCATAATACTATACTCGTTAACTAGAGGATATACAGTTTGCATAGCAACTCATATAAGTTCATAATAAAATTATTTCCAAGGACAAATAAAAAGTACATTTTTGAGGCTTAATCTTGTGTAGTAGCGGCAGGTAACCGATGGATGCACGTCGCGTCCGATCGGCTAGTCTGGAAATCTTTGGGGGAGGCCTATGTTCAGCAGTGGACATCTTCCGGCTGACGATAATGATGATCTTGTGTAGTATGTGAACTTTATGCAATTATTCATATTACGTAATTTTTATGCTTATTTTATCAATATTATTGGTTAAACGATAGCTGTTGGATGTCTCCTCGAGAAGCTGAACAATGATCCCGAACACATAATATGAGCTAAAGTGACATTTTCGGCATGAAATTTGATTGGTTAAAAACTATTAATGCAATTTGAAAGCTGGTATACTAAACTTCATTTCTGTATGCCCTTGTTGATTATTTGAATTGGTAAAACCTGGGACAACTTAAAATATTTTTGTATTCTAGCAATTTAAAAATAAAAATGTAAGGAGGCACGAATAATGTGTAATACATATATATATATATATATATATATATATATATATATATATTTATATGGTAATTATTCACTGGCATTATCTTTCAACTTCTAACATTATCCATTTTGCAGGGGTGTACTTCCGCTGGGTCAACGCGCTCGCTTGTGGGAGAAGCACCGCGCTCGCTCGCGTAAACAACAGCGTGGTCACTCCTCCGCCACGCCTCAGGATCTGCAAGCGGGACAGAGCGTCACTATGAAGAACGCACCCATGTATCAACCTGGTGCTATTGGTGAGTATAGATTAATCAATCTACTTTAGCACTTGTGTTATCCATCCTCGAAGGCCTATGCGAACGCTTTAATTGACATTCCTGTCCTAGGGTCGTATTCTAGAACTCTACTCAATGCTCAAGTCAGGACTTGAGTATGATTCAAAGCACTAGAATCATACTCAAGTCCTTGCCATTAAGGTCGTATTTCCAGTGCTTGACATCGTACTCAAGTCTGCTCAAATCCTGACTTGAGCATTGAGTAGAGTTCTGGAATACGACCCCTAAACAATTTTCAGATAATACGACAGTCGGTTAAAAAAAAAAGTAAAGTCCACTGTCAAATTGGTTTATAGATAGATACACAAACACTTTATTCACTAATATGCATTGACCTACCAATAAATGGACATCGGGTCTAATACAAAAACCACGAAAGAAATATACGAAGTTAACTTATACAAACGTAGTGACATGTAACGAAATATAAAAAACTAAAACATTTAAATTGTAACGTTATTGCAGTACTGCCTAATTTTGCTTGCAACAATTTAAGGGCCCAAAAACACCATATTCTACTTGAAAATTCTACTGGAAACTTAACAAAATGCACCATATTTAGCTTCGACTGAAAATTACTTCAACACAAGAGTAATGGAGTAGCTTTTCTCGTAAATATTAATTAATTTTTATATACAGGGTGTAACCGCAAGGTGTAGTCATATTAAAGGAGCCAAACCTATACTTGATCTAGACCCTCTGTGCAAAATATCAAATAAAAATAAGTGACTTTTAATGTTGATATAACTTTAATTATGTTTGTATAAATAGTGATTGTCCGAAACAACCACTGCGTCACAACTCTATTGCTAGTTACGTTACTACGACTTCACAAATTCATTAATGAAACCTGGGCGGCCGCAAGCGGGGCGAAAGAACAGCTGACTACAATTGAAATGCCACTGTAAAAACATGATTTGAATATATTGATAACACGTTAATATTAAGTAACAAAATCTTTAAATACCTAGAAAAATCGAATTATTTCTAACAATATTATTTTATACCATACCTAGGTACGTACTTATTTACATACAGTTTAAAGGATATTTATTTACTTATTAAGCCCGTAGTTACGCACGCCTTCATCGTATACACATTCTACATAATTTTGTATTAATACATTTATTTACGACAATTTTACAATAGTGGATACTTTTTTAATTGGTACTTACCTACTGTGCAATTCATACACGTTTTAATGAATTTCCTACGAATTGTAATTCACTGTTGTACAATGTACGAAATATTGACTTGTTTACGATAATTTTGAATAATAAGTACAATCACTACACGCACTGCTGGCACATTTCACACATTTACAGGTAAGGTTCAAAATGCCGACCTCCATGCAATATGCATATTTCCGTGCGTCGGTACAGAGACTGCTCTACTCTTTGAAGCATCTGCCGAGTGATTTGACTAAACGCCATTTCGATCCGCTGCCTCATTTCTTCTGCGCTTTCACAGGACTCCGCATAAACAATATTTTTATATGACCCCACAAAAAAAATCGAGCGGTGTCAAGTCTGGGGACCACGCTGGCCAGGGTACAGGACCTCCCCGCCCAATCCACTGCGGGAGACGGTCGTTCAGATGGGAACGTACATTTCGAGCAAAATGTGCGGGTGCTCCATCGTGCTAGAAAGTCATCCCGTGTTCCATCACGAGTCTCACGTATTGTGTCACTGGCAGGGCCATCAGAACGTCACCCAAGTCTTCTGTTAGGAATCTTAAATAATTGGCCCCATTCAGACTTGCCGGCAAAAACACTGGACCGATGACGGCACAACCTATTATACCAGCCCACACGTTAATCCGCCACTGGTGTTGAAAATTTGATTCCCTTGATACGCGGGGATTCAAATGAGTCCAAAAATGTTCATTATGCATATTGATAATGCCCGCACGCGTAAATGACGCCTCGTCTGTCCACAGTACCGACGAAGCGAAGTCGGGAGACCTCCCAACCTGGTCGCGGTACCAGCGGCAAAATGCCAAACGTAGATCATAGTCCGCTTGTAACAGCTCCTGCGTTCTTTGAAAATGGTATGGGTGCTGGCCATCATCCCGTAGCACACGCCACACACTCATATGGTTCACACCACCAAAGGCTGCCGCAGCACGACGAGTACTTGTCTTTGGATTGCCGAGAAAATGTTCCAAAACATCTGCCTCGAATTCTGCGTCTCGTGAACTCGGCCGGCCTTCAGAACTGGAACCACGGAACGATCCACTATTATGAAGTCTCATAACCATCTTCCTGAAGCATTCCACAGCAGGAAATGGTCGACGTCGATTTTCTGGGACGCCATCAATAAACTTTGCCCAATAAATTTGGCGAGGCTGGCGCAAGCTCCCATCGGCTGCGCCTACGCACAACATCATCTCTTAGTAATCACTATTGCTTAAGCGTGACATAGTTTAAATAAACACAAAAACAAGACACAAACAAAACGATGACACCTATTTAGTCCTCACAACGCAAACGGCAATTACAGACTGTTACAAAAAATTAAGAAATAGCACCTCTGCCTCAGCGGCGGCACATCAAAGGACGCCGACTGAAACGCAAATTTTGGAATATAGGGTAACGTTTTCATAATGTACCTACAGGGTGAAATTAAAATTATTACCATCCTTTTGAAATAAGACCCTTCTCCTGATACAAATTACATCATTACATACACATTAAACGAATACCTATATCCTACGTCTACGACCTTCAACGTTGCACTGCATACGCCTTTGTTTGTAAACAAGCTCTGACCATCACCCGTACCACTTCCACATAATGCAAGAACTGACTGAGTGATTACGGATATACTGCACTAAGGAGGCAGTCACCCATCGGAAACTCACGACGTCCGAAACGAAAGCCTAACACACTAACCACTACACCATGGAGGCAGTCGACTATAGGAATCAAATCCACGACCTCCGAAACGAAAGCCTAACACTCTAACCACTACACCATGGAGGCAGTCGACTATAGGAATCAAATCCACGACCTCCGAAAACAAAGCCTAACACTAACCACTACACCATGGAGGCAGTCGACTATGGGAATCAAATCCACAACCGCCGAAACGAAAGCCTAACACTCTAACCACTACACCATAGAGGCAGTCGACTATGGGAATCAAATCCACGACTTCCGAAAAGAAAGCCTAACGCTCTAACCACTAGACTATGGAGGCAGTCGACTATGGGAATCAAATCTACGACATCCGCAAAGAAAACCTAACACTCTAACAACTACCCCATAGAGCCAGTCAACTATGAGAATCGAATCCACGACCTCCGAAACGAGTCTAACATTAACCACTAATCCACATCACCATGTATAAAATCAAATGCTGGCGGCGAAAATCAAAGGTGATATTTTTGCCGCCAAAGTTGCCGCCAAAGGCTTGCGACTTCGCTACGATTACGTATCGCGTACGCAAGGCGACTAATCTTGATACTTTGTTTATTTAGGTAAGATTTTTTATGGTTTTACACTATTGCTAATTTAAACTATTCTAAAATATTTCTTTAGATGAGTAGATATTATTAGGAAGTAAGAACCTTAATAGGTTCAACGGATATTAATTATTTCAATTTCACCATGTAATAAACCCATACCCAGAAAGTTGTCGTGTGTAGATAAGTCAAATTAAGCGTAAGCCTGTTGTTAGAAACGTGCGCTCAGCAATAGACGTATGTAAGTTAGTAAAGTACTATTTTTTGCACAAGGTTTAGTCCACTGCACTTGCATAGTAAGTACTGGTTGGAAACTTGACATTCTCGCATCTTTGAAGATTTCGGCAATTATCTCCGAAATCCAAGTTTTCTCACGATATTTTCATTTCCAAGCAAGTGATGAAAATTTATTTTATTTTTATTTTTTATTTTTTATTTATGGCACAATGTACAGACATCAGATACAGAAAGTGAGGAAAATAAAAACACTTAAAAATTAATACAACAGGCATATCTGTGCCCAATTATTACTGTGCTCAACATTCATTTTAAAACATTTAGATATACTTAAACAGACACTAAATCAATCATAAAAAAAAATTAAATTAAATTAAAATTACAATAATTAATTCGTGGTCAACGATCAAAACTAATTTCTTGACGTTTACCGACCTTCAGGTTGCACCTTTACGATGAAAGTGTCCCAATACAAAATTTCAACTTTTTGGGAATAAAAAAGAAAATAAGATTTCAAGTTTTTTCATATTTTCATATTATTTTATTTATTACCTACTCTTGAAGTACTAAAGGTGATGGCCTTATTAGTCTTTGAAAATAATGAGGAAAAATGGAACTTTACAACTGAAAATTGTTTCTGATCATTTTAATGTTCAACAATTTAAAAACATAATTTACAAAAACTAGTCGCCAATAGGTCTTTTTTTTTAACGATTTTTTGTTATCATTTAACGTATTAAGAATTAAGTCTTTTTAATGTTCATCAGCTAAGCAAGATGTCATAACCCTTGATATTGTTTTGTGGTCCCTGTTTCACAATTAAAAAAGAAGAAAGTCCACGAAACAAAAAAGTAAGTCCCTTTAAAAAGTAAGTTACTAAAAAAATTTTTTTTTTTAAATATTAAGCGACGGGTCGAACAAGTCATGTACCCGGTGGAAAGCGTCACGCCTGTCCATAACAGTAGCACTGCCGCTCGAAGGCTACTGCTACGGCGTCCATCTCTCTGAGACATAGTTGACAAGTCCCATGTGCCTGTAATTTCACCAGCACCCTTACCCTTCAAAACTGTAACACAGTAATGTGGCAGTACTACCCTGGACGAACTCACAAGGAGCTCTACTGCTACTAGTGATTTTTGAATATGATTTTCGGAACGAAAATGGCTCAAATGCTAATCCGTCAGTGGCAGCGTGTTGTCTTTGCAAATGCAGATTCAACAATAAATGCGGCGTTAATATTTCGACGCGGGAGTAGAATT